TCTCACACTTTAATTGCATCAGAGTCACTTAGGGAGCTGCTGGTAGAAAACACAGATGTCCAGTTCCCACCTCAAACGTTCCCACTGAACGACACTCTCTGGGGCCCAGGTGCAGCCCACTACGCTCATGAGACCTGAGTGCCCTGGAGCAGCTGGTCTCTAAGGACCAAGCTCTAACCCGGAAGGGGTTTATGATGACTTGGAGAGATGAAGTACAGTACATGGTCTCTAGGGGAACATGCCCAAGTCAGGTGCAGCTCGTGTGACTGAGCAAAGAGGGCCGGTGGCGGCAAGGCAAATTGAAGAGTGTATGTCCATTTAACTGGAGCAGCCTTGACCCAGACCCTACTTCCCCTGGATTGCTGCTGCTCAGGAGGGCAGGCCTGCTGTGAACAGACCTTCTGAATTTTCAAGAGAAATTGGAAGTCACAGAGCCACGTACTGTGTCCTGCCCCTCACCGAGTCACCGGTAGGGCATTGCTTTAAACTTTTCTGGCTCCAAAAGCCCTGTTTATGAGATGGTGAAAGGTAGAGGAGAGGAGACTAGCTCTAAGTGGGGGTCTTAATGCTGCTTACGGAGAGGGTGTCCTCAAGTATGGCTCTCAGAATCTGATCTCAGGGAGAAGGGGTGCCCTTCCTAGGGACTCCTGAGCCTTGGCTGAGTGGACGGAGCTCTCAGAGGATGGAATATTTGGCTTTAGACGTGAGGTGCTGGGGTTCTAGCTGGGATCCCTGGAATGTTCCACGAAGGAGTGGACTCCTCTAAGAGAACTTGGCTGATTGCTACATTTAAACCTAGCAACCAAATGCTTCTTCCCCTGCTTGGGACACCCTTTCTCCCACCCCTTTGTCGATCTGACTCATACTTGTCCTTCGGGACTCAGCTTAGTCTATGCTCTGACCTCCACGACTAGGCTATGTTGGCCTCCTTGTGGCACCACAGTCGTGGGCATGCCCTTAGTTTAGACATTCTCTCCTGGAATTTCAATAGCTTGCTTCCTTAAAAACGTTCAAGTCTAACGTTTGTTGCGTGTTCACCATGTGCCGGCATGGTTTAAGTCGCCTTATGATATCTCGGTTAATCCTACTGCGGTTGGCACTATTATTCTTCCTCTT